CAGTTACCCTTGATGCGTTGGCGAGCTTTGCCAAAAGTCATTGTACAAATTTTTTTCCAGCCACCTCTTTTCACGGAATGTGTGTTTTGTCTTGCTTTTTTGGCAAAAACACAGTTGATTTCATTGATTGATTTTGAAATATAAATGTTTTTCATTGAGTTATTGAACCTAATGTACCCCACGTTTGCCGCGTATTAAGTGGTAAAACAAGTTCAAGTAGCATTTATCGCCTCGACCATTCTTCTGCACGACCTTCTGCCATTCACACCAGCTTTCAGTGGTCTTGCTGCTGAAATGACTACCGAGATAAGCTTGTACACTTTACTCTCAGAGCTAAATATAATTGGTTGGGGGGAAAAGATGTATAACTATATAAAAGATTTTCTCACCGATCGGGAGGCGACAATTGGTATCTCAAGCGTTAGGTCTGAGCCATTCTGAATACCAAACAAGGGAACGCCTCAAGGAGCCATATTATCTCCTCTGTTGTTTAAAATCGCCATGCGTCGACTCGCTCGGGCCTTCGATTGTGTACCACAGCTAGGTTATACCCTCTACGTGGACGACATTACTCTGTGGGCCACACGGGGGTCCCTGGCCAGCAAAGAGCAGACTCTGCAAAAGGCGGCACTGGCTGTCGAAAACTTCGCCAGAACCAGTGGTCTCAGCATCGCACCCGAAAAATCTCAGGTGATCAGAATACACAGCAAACGCTACAAAAGTAACAGAAGAACAGAAATTGAAATCGAAAAGCAGAAAATAAAGAAGTCACCGTCGCCCGAATCCTGGGTTTCTGGGTTCAAAGCTACGCTTGGGCAAGTCACACTATCGGTCTTCTTAAATCGGCATTTAAACAAGTGGCTAGGATGATTCAGAGGATCACCTTCCACAAAAAAGGCATGAAAGAAAGTGACACTGTCCGTTTAGTGCAGGCGCTCGTAATGATCAAATTGACATACAGCTTGCCTTTCCACACGCCGAACAAGAGCGAGGAAGATCAAGTAGATTCTATCATCAGAGGGGCTTACAAGGCAGCATTAGGCTTACTGATAAGCACTCCGACACAGAAGCTTCTCGAGATCGGCCTGCATAACACGTACGCTGAACTGAAAGCAGCAACATTGATCTCTCAGCGCGACCGCCTCAGCCAGAAGATGTCGGGAAGAGAGATACTGATGAGGGCGGGTATAACACCGCAACTCCAAAACTTAGACGAGGAGCTGGTGGACGTACCAGACCCAGTCCGATGACATATTTCGATCGCCCCTATCCCCAGGAACATGACCAAGGAGCGGCATCACGAAAGGCGAGAGGAGCGTGTAAAACGGATCAGAAAATTAGTCAGAGGCAATGAGAACGTGCAATACGTTGACGCTTCCAGGTATAACTGGAAGCGCTGCGTCGTTACAGTGGTAAGCAGTGACACAAGAAGCATAGCGTCCAGCGCATCACTGTACACTACATCGATCACCAAGGCCGAGTGTTTCGCCATCGCATTGGCGATTAAAAGTCGAGAGCGCAGCGACGGCCTGACGCAAATCACCATACTCTCAGATTCGCAAGATTCGTGCCGGCTATTCACGAAAGGCCGCCTCCCATTAAACATTTGTAAATTTTTAGGTGGCTAATTGAGCAACACTTATAGGTTGGTCTGGTGCCCTGGACATGCAGGCCTAGAGGGTAACGAGAGGGTGGACGCTCTAGCTCGAGTGCTCAAGAACCGAGTGGAGCAGCAGCCTTTCTCGCTGTTACCACCACGCAGCAACGACGGCTTTCGCGAGGAGGAGGAAAATGACCCGGCTCGGATGGCTCCGCGAGAGCTTTTTGCTCACCAGCGATGCACGCGGCAGAAATATGGCGCCCCCCCCCCCCAAATCTCTTAAAGGGGAAGACGCCATAGACCTCCGTAAAATTCAAACGGGAGTTCATCCAAATTTATTACGACTGCGCAAAATTCATCCAACTTTGTATGTGCGCGATTGTCCGTGGTGTCGCGACTTGCCACCGACCCTTTACCATATCTCGTGGCGTGTTGCTAAACGGCCAAGTGAACTTGATCGCTTACAGCGTATGTATACAATCGAAAACTCTTTGGAGCAATGGGAGGCACTCCTCGCTAGCTCGGACCCGGAGGTGCAACTAGCACTCCTGGACCACGTCCGGCAGGCGGCGCAAGCCAGTGGAGCCTTGGACATGGGGCCCCACCTATCTAGCTCCTAAACCCCTTCTTTTTCAACCCAATAAATTTATTTCTCTCTCTTTCTCTTTCTCTTGTACACTTTGGGACACTGTAATTCCTGGTTTTAACTTGATACATCCGACTACGCGTACGATAACTTCTTAGGTACACGAATACAAATTCACATACTTTTATTAAAAGACATGTCTCATAAGTTCTCTTCAAATGCCAGTAGATTTTACATGGTAGCTTTTGTTGTGCTACATCTTAGCCCAAATTCCTGAACAATTGCGTTATAAAAAAATTGCCCGCAGCTTCCCTCGGGGGAACACTGAGGAGGATGCGGAAGTTGGTTAACGGGTGTTAAATTGCGACTTACTTGGGTCGATGGCTAAATTGGTTAACGTGGTTGTGAAATGGGGTGTTAAATGAGTGAACACGTACGGCACGTATGCGAAAGGGCGGTGTTTTATTTATTGCGACGAACTTTGAGGACGATGGCTTAGGGACGTCGATCATTCTGTTTGTGGATTCGTTGGCATTCATTTCACGGCGACTTCGGACGTCGACGCGCCGTACAAACCAACGGACGAGCGGCAACTGAGCGAGCGAGCGCCGACCTTGAGTATATATACAGCGCGACGTCGCATGCGCTGTCAGCTGTCGAATGTTCTCGAAGGTGAAGCGCGCGCGCGGCACAGATGGCGACGGCGCGACGGCGCATGCGCTGTCAGCTGTCGAATGTTCTCGAAGGAGAAGCGCGCGCGGCACAGATGGTGGGCGACGGCGCGACGGCGCATGCGCGCGCGTCAGCTGTCGAATGTTCGAGAAGCGGTGCGGACGGCGCACTACAAGGCGCGAGTATAAGATGCTTCCGCATCTAAAAGTAATTTTAATTTAAAGAAACTTCCAGTTGCATGGTTCAGGCTGCCGTTGAAACCGGGCTCAATGCTATAGAACTAAAAGGACAAAGGCAACGTATGTTGCCGCATAGCATCCTCTTTCACTAGCAGGTCGTAACTGAGTTTTTGCTCATATTCACTTCGCTGATGACGCACCTACTTCTATAATTGCACTGCAGCTGAAAATTCCTGGCGCCAGGATTTTCGGACCCTTCGCTTTTTTACCCTCATGTTCATTTCTGTACCTCGATATCTGCCCCAATTCCACATATGGTAAGCACAATATATAATGCCGCAGATTGCCCGAGCTTTTTTACAAGCATATGATAGCTGGTCTTTTAAGTCATGTTCACCTCGTCGGTGACGCACTCATTCTGCGATTCCACTTCGTCTGTACTTTTCTGGCAGCAGAATTTCCTGTCACTTCGATTTTTTTCACACACATGCCCATTTATCCACCGCGAAATTTGCTAAATTGCTACATCACCACAGCTGGATGTAGGGTATGAACGTCGCAGGTGCGGCCACGATTGTACATCTCTTCGGTCTTCAACAAGATCTCTTGGTAAGTATGCATTCACATAGTGGTGGTTGCGCACAAAATAAGTGCTTCATAAAATTTAGGTATCAGGGGCCGTATTCACAAACCTTCTAACGAAAGCTTTTTGCGTAAGAGAACTTTTTGCGTAAGTCGATTCACGAAACAAAAAAAAACGACGTAGGAACTCATCGTTGTCACAACGGCCGCTTCAATAAAGCACGGTGGAAGATGTCAGCGATGGTGATGCAGATCCTATATTTGCCTATGTAACCGGAAAATTCTCGCAAGTGGATTCACGAAGCAAAAATTGGCGTTAAAACAACGTTGCTAGGAGAAAATCCTAGAAGTCATCCGCACCACTCTCAGGAACAGTGTGGCTACTTGGAATTTGATTTCGCAGTAGTATACTTTGGTGCCCTGGATGGTTTTGAGTTAATTCACGCCCATGAAGGGCTTTCTGATGACTGCTGGTGCGTTTTTAATATTTCGGCGATTTGAGTTTCATGCGTTGTTTTCCTTGTACGCAGTGGATGCCATTGACAACCACCGTTGTCCAATAAGTTCGAAGTCACAGTAATCGAAGAACGCTATTGAGCTTCAATAGCGTAAAATTATGCATGTAAAATTTTTCTCTCAAACCTACAAGAGCAGTTGTTTTTTTATCTCTTCTGTATACCATACAAGTTATATTGGTGTAATATTAAATTTTGAGTGACATCACGCACTGTCGTAGCTGTTATCTGGATAATGTAGACTAGTCAGGCACCTTTCGAGACTTTGGCTGAGTCTTCGAAGACAATTGTGAATTGTCTTGAATAAAGTCTGAGTGAATCAATGAAAGGTAGCCTCCATAACGTTTTTTCGTTAATAGTGATCACAACGCGTTACCTTTGGGGGGGGGGGGGGTCGCAGGGCGGTAAGGTGATCGTTTTTTTTTTGAGTAACTAGTAATAAATTTAGCAGCGTGTACAATACTGGTATTAATATATAACACTACCATAGAGATTAGAAAACACTAAATAATGACGTTGGCACGGCCAACGATGACAATAGTTCTTTGCAATACTAATACAGAAGATAAACATGGTTGAGGGTGAGTTTCATATCTTCAAACTTAAATACATTTAAATATTGACTGAATGAATTTTCATTACGATTAGTCTCGCAATTTTTCAACACTACATTATATTTTCTGTGGTGATACCATGTTAGCCAGTCGTGGCTCTGAGAGAGTGTCTGATAATCGGTTGCAATTTAGTATTACCGTATAGCAGTAGCACTAACATTAGAGAACACTACACCATGCGAGTAGCTTGGCCGACAGGGCCAATCTATTGCTTGAAATATTAATGCAGGAGTAGATAAACGAGGTCAGAGGTCCTTCTCACGTATAAAAACTTTATTGCATTTGAAAAGTGATTCAATAGCCGAAACTAATGGCCAGAGCTTGATCCGTATTCAGCATTCGTTCACTTCTTGGGCAAACCAATTGAACTAATGCCTCCGATGCCATCACCCAGAGCAACCGCTTCGTTAGGAGCCGTGATGATCACAGCTGAAAATAGAATATGATTTGTTTTTAACAAGAAATAACACTAAATGAGAAAGTTCCCATATACCGCATAAATGCCTTATTATCATTATATTTTTCTATTAAAAAGACGTTTGTGAAGATCACGTCCTCGACTATCACTTTGCCGATTGCGTTTCGGTGAAGGCAACGTGGTGAAGACCAGTGTAGTGTGCGGTGTAAGTGTAAGCTGAAAAACAGCAGGATTTCTTTGTGGCCTGTGTAATATATCTATTGTGGGTTTCAAATGTAAAATTTAGGTGGGGTAAATATTAACAAAAAATAATAATAATAATAATAATAATAATAGTTTTATTATTGTTAATGTCATCGTAACAAAATACTTGGCAAATAGCACCAACCAAAAAAAAACATAACTACGCGTGTACGACACCTATTGTGGAGTATTTTATTGCCTATGCACGGGCAGCTGCACATATAGGAACACACGCTATAGAAGAGAAATGCCTCACACTGCATATAGGTAAAACGTGCATACTTAAGGGCTCGTTTTGTGGGGTGAAGCTCCCTATGCCGTGGATCTTACGATGTATGTAGTAGTAGTAGTAGTCGTAGTAGCAGTAGTTCAAGTAGGTAGCCACCTCTACAGCCGGACAAGAGGAGCAGACTGTGCGCACCCTTTTCGATTGAGGAGAAAACGTACGCACGTTAATCATATATAAAGATAGTTGTTTCTATGAAATACCTTACAGAGAAGAGTATTGATGAATTAAAATCTCCAATAAAATTTGCCTTGAATTTGATGCTTACAAATGAAACCTAGGATCAGAAGGACGCGCTTTAGGCACTATCTGAACAGAAAGGGTTGCCATGCCAAACTGGCCGGGTATAACCTGCTTGGTTTTAGCAAGGTTCAGCAAGGATTCGGCCACAGTGCCATTAACTAAAGGCGGTGAAAAGTGGGATATTGACATGAAGCGCAGTCCGTAAGAAAGTGCACGAGGGCCACCTCTTGTTTAGTCTTTGTAACGTTCGCTTCATGGCAATACTTCTTTATGCTGAATATACAATGAACACATGCCAGATGGTGGTACTTCGGGTGTTAACTAGATGGGCGTACGGACCGACGGACATATGCACGGACGGACAGAAGAACGCATGGATGAACGGGCGCATGGACGGACGCACATGTGAACGGATGGACAGATGGACCCAAGAACAGAGGGACGCTTCGCTCCACTCATCATCATGCACTCCGTGGATATGATGTGCTTTTTGCTTTGTTAGACATCAAAATAGTGACATCGAACTGGATGTGGGGCACTCGACACAGAATTGATAAACACCACAGTTGTCAATAGAGTCTACTGGATTCTCCTAATGTCGACACGAGGAAACTCTTCACAGTCCCTAGCCGCCATTACAGTTTACTAAATCAGGGGAGTGCCTGGAACAACTTTCGAAAAGTGGAGACCACACGAGGTCATGCCGCTTGGCGCTGCGATCGCTAGTTTGCAGTGTATCATTGTTTTGAGACTTGCGTGGGGCTCCGTTCAGAGAAGTGGTGTAAATGTGAATGCCCGCATACCATTCGAAAGGCCCAGTATTTTTCAGTTACAAACCATTTTCATACAATTAGCTATGCAATGATACTGCTGTTTAGTTTAAAAATAGTATGAGATCATTTTTATGCGTGATGGAATAAATGAAAATAACAAAAGGCTCAGGTTCTAATTGCGCCTTTAGATGATGGGTTATTGTTTCTAGTGTGAATTGGCATAGTTTTATGCGCTTTTATTTGGTTTTTCGTGATAGCTTCTGTCAGTATGTATCACTACAAAAAGTAACATTAAATATGATATAAAAGACAAAGAAATTTGACAGTGGTAGCAGTATCTATTTGTCATGCCACTACACAGCATTCAACACACCTTAAGTAAGGCTCCGCGATCTTTGGGATAATGATAATTCTAGGAGCCAATGCTGTACGTTTTAGGCCAAGGCTATTGATGAATGCATAATTTGCTCAGCCGAATCGAGTGATTGATTTTTCCAAACTATATTTGAGGCGTTGCCAATAAATGCAATTGTTAGAGAGCACGGATTGATTGATTTGATTGATTTGTGGGGTTTATTGTCCCAAAACCACCAAATGATTATGAGAGACGCCGTAGTGGAATTCTCCTAAAATTTGGACGACATGGGGTTCTCTAACGTGCACCTAAATCTGAGCACACGGGCCTACAACAGTTCCGCCTCCATTGGAAATGCAGCCACCGCAGCAGGGACTTGATCCCGCTACCTGCGGGTCAGCAGCCGAGTACCTTAGCCACTAGACCACCATGGTGGAGCCTAGAGCACGTGATATTTATTTAAATATTAGCAAAGCATTGCCTACCTAGTGCGACGGCAACAGCAACAAGAAGGTCCATTCCCAGGAGGTGCTTCATTTTGAAATTTTCCTCTGCAGAAACAATTTGAGGCATTAAGGTTTTAGCAGTACAGTCGAAACTTTCAGGTTACTTATTTACACATTATTTTCGCTTCTATAATCATTCGTAATACAATCATAGTGCTAAAAACTTGCTGCATTGCTGCGGGTACTTTCTCAATTTCGTCAGCTTTATACATTCCTGTCTAGTCATTTGTACGGCTACCGCTGCCGATGTGCAATTGTACACTTCAAAATACCGAAATGTGTGTCAAGACTCTGATTGGAGACCATGGTTTTCTTACAGTTTCACTTTTTACGACCCACATTGATTAAATTGTCGAAGCGTTTCAAGCACGGAAAATTTAACAACGTGGTCCAATGCTTAACAAAATATTTTAGGCGCCGCTCAGAATTAAAAAAAAGAAACATAAAAAGCACATTTGGTCTTCAGCTGTTTATTCTCCCTGTGTGAGTTTGACAACAAATGAATTCGTAACCTGCCAAAAGCTACAAGTAACGAACATAATTTTGTAGATAAGGGTCCGAGGAAAACTCTGAAGAGGTAGAAGATAACATATCTGGAAGTAACCCTGAGAAATCCTTATGGTGCTCACTAATTCATTTTATTGTTTATTCAGCCCTCAAAGCAGACAAATTCACAGATGGAAGTAGGTAGGAATATAGATCAACTGGTCTCAAAGAATAGTAAGATAAAATTGACCACATTTTAATGTGTTTTTACTAATACAACCTATTTATTACCACATGAAAACAATAGTTATCCTTGATTGATGCAATGTCATGGGAGGGCATTTTCACTACCCTGTGTTATAGTAGATACATGAACATTTTTTTCCGGAATGTGAGGCCTGCCTAATGGTAGCAAGCCGCACTATCTGACGTGGTATGCGGTGATAAAATAGGTGAGTCGGGAAAAATACTATGAGTAAGTTTTGTGAAAATATTCGCGTGGCAGAAATTTAGATGCACCATTAGCGATACAAGGGAAAAAGCAAGCCGAGTTTAATTGAATAAATTAAGGAACGGTGATTACTTTTGCCTGTAATTAACCCTACCTCCGCAGCCTGTTCAAGTATTTGTTGGAATAATGTTTGAAAACGTATTATTCGAACTAATAATTAAGAGGCAAAAAAATATATCGGAATTCTCCAAGCACGCTGTAATATTTTAGGGTTGAAGAACCTAAAATTACTGTGAATTTAGAGTACTAGGAATAATGTAAATTTATTGCAATACTCGAAAAAAGATAAATATCTCTCGGCTATCTAATTTGAGCTACTGGAGGCGACCACCTAATAAAAGAAAAATTTCTCTGATGAGGGTTGTGGCAGTGTCAAGGACAACCTCAATATAACAAACAGAATGAGCATTGTGGTTTGACGCTCTAGAACTAAAATTTGAATGAGGAACGTAGTGGTGGAGGGCTCCGAAAATTTCGACCGCTGTTTTCTGTGCACCTAAATTGTCGATAACCTAAGTGTTGAAACAATGCTTCCCGATGGTTGTGTCAATGGAGGATGTGACTGTGATCAAGATAAAGCAGAGTATGAAGAGCAAGGCTTTGCATCACCAATACCTGCTGAAGTGTAAGGGACAGAGGTCCAGATGGGAAGTTTCGTTCGAGTGCACCGAAGACCCTGGTGTCTTGCCACAATGTTGTTCCCAAACATAACTGCTTCACGGAACATACAGATCAAATTGACGAAAACGTAGGCGTCTAGTGAATTAAGACTAGTTGTAAAAATAGTGATTTTAAGCGATGTTCACGCCGCAGCGTAGGCATAAGCGCTGCGTGGTGCTCATTCGGGGCACAAAATTCAACGTCAGTGAACCTAAATTGGGGAGAAAATTGCTAAAACCTAGCTCACAGATGAAATTAACAAGCGAAAAGCAACTGGCCATCGAAAAAGATTGACGCTTATTGAGAAAGTGCACTTTGTTTCAAATCAGCACACTTTGTCGCACATACACCTAGCAGCGAAAAGCACAGGTGCGCTGAACACCAGTGCAGTAGTTTGGTGCCCACACAATGCCGCTACTGTGAGGTGGGCATGGGCAATCCCTGCTTCATATCATTTCTCCATATATGCCGAACAAATTCATAATTGTCTCGCGATGTGCCAAGTCGTGACAGAAAATTTGTCCTTTTGCTGTAGCCTAAGGCCCAGATTGACCACATGGTTATGGGCCATATCTTGTAAACTAAGTTTTCATTCACGATGATATTGTCAGCATGATCTATCAGATGCAGATAAAATAAAATACCGCACCTGTTTTCACAACACGTATGAAAAAAGAAACGAGTCCTCAACGGGCTAACAATATGCAATATGACCTGAAGGGTGTAAGCACGCAAGAGGAAAGTTGTACGTTTGGTACGCCTGGTTAAAACATTAGTGACACCGTTAAATCAGTTTTTTTTTCAAAAAACTCTATATTAGGGACATGTTATATTCGCGAAATTCATATTTACAAAGATAACCACAGGAAGTCAATCACTCACCACAGCTTTTGTACCAGTTCCTCAGGCAGAATTAGTGGACAGTGTAAAGCATGGGCTCTAGTGATTCTTATATAGCGCGAACTATTCTTTACTCTATATACTTTCTTACCAGTAAAACTATACTTTTAAACCAGTAAAAGAAAATGAAATCGAGCATTGGCTCAGGATAGCACGTCTAATGAAGGCTGAAATAGATATCCTTCAAATCCTACTCATACAGACCTATAATTAATTACCTACAGAAAATTGCTTCGAACGCAGTAACAAAAAATACCCTTCAAGCAATCGTAAAATAATTTTTGTCCGCATACATCGCCCGCTCTGCTATATAATTGAAAGAGCCCATAACTACCTGTCATGATACGTTTTACGTCAATCGTTGTAATGAACATGTTACGAAATATTTTATTTACTTTCCTTAGACCCCATAGAGTTAGGCGTACAAATTTTTACTCGTACAAAATTAAGGATGATATCACCAAACCTCTAATTGCGGCAATCAATAAAGATATTTTAGTCAGCATCTATTACTTGCTCTCGTAATGCGATGTATTAAAAGGCACGTCTACCTCAAATAGTACTTTTTAAGTAAAAGCTAACTTAAGAGATTATGGCTGTAAACAACATGTTTTCTGCAGACTTAAGTTACAGCAAGTTATGTTTAGTATTTCACCGACAGAAAAAGAAAACGTTGCTATTCTTGAAACTCGAACAAAAATCTCCTTTTGCAATTGTATAGTCAACCATAAAATTCATGGCTCACTTGAAAGCGTGCCGAACCAACGACCCCTCTATTTTATCATGCCAGCCATATGCGGCCTATTTCACCACCCTCTCCTCATGTCCTTTCCTTCTCTCACCCATCATCAAGCCTTCGTGTGTGCTTTGCTGTCACGGGGAAAGGTGTCCTCTTATGCAGGACCTCGCCACAAAAATCATACAAGGTAATTTTGCGTTCACTTGTGTTCAGATACGTTAGGCGGCGTCCGGCATTCCTTGTGTTCACTATGTTGGCAATCACGCTGGCTCTGTGGAGATACAGTGTTTTGATATAGCATGTCGCCGTTCGTGCGGATATGTGGGGAACTATTGGGGAAGCGTAAATGCAACGCTACTGCATGTGTGGCACCGTGATGCAGCGGCCGCATTGCTTCGAGCCACAAAAAGGAGCACGACAGTAAAAAACTGAATGACTTACAACATTGTAGTGGGAAACATGTCTATGACATCTCCGGCTGAACGCCATCGGAAGCACGTGTGACTCGAGCAGCTTGACCCCTCATGCAGCGTCGCATCACGGCCATCCCCTGAACTATTGCGTACTGGCGGCTCGCGTTGATAAGCACGCGTTTGCACTGTCATTGAAAGAAATAAAGAAAGCGTTGGCCAAACTCATTGTTCGTGCCACCTAACGGAGCACCATTCTACGTCAACTGTAGTGCTAGGCCGGAAATAGCTGTTCTCGTTCTTCACTGACATCAAAATTTTCTACTCTCGTAAAGCTCAACATTAGTTCGCAGTTTTCACGCGGAGGGCATATGTGCAATCTGACCTTGACATTTATATTTTTCATTATCATGGGGTGCCTCCAACCGTGTTCCATTGCTTTAGATTCATTTCTTATGAAGACTGCGACTGGCACGAGTTATTCTCATAGACTGCCTAAGAGGTGAAATCATTTAGGCCCAGTTGTTAAAAACGTGTTGTGTTAAATAGTGAAAGGGGAATATTATTGTACTCAGTACGGAAGGAGACACGCCACAGAGGAGAAAAGGGGGATGCTTCACGACGGCTATGGTGCTGTAAATCGCCACTGACGTCGCGTGTGTGCCCTGAAAACTTTTCGGCCACGTGGTCTTGTGGTCCATCAATCATACTGCTTGACTGAACGAATTGTCATATTACACATATGATGATGATGATCATCATCATAATCACCATCATCATCATTATCATTCTGCCTACGTCCCCTGCAGGACAAAGGCCTCTCCCATGTTTCGCTAGTCAACTCAGTCCTGTGTTTGGTGCTGCCATTTCATGCCTACAAACTTCTTAATCTCATCTGCCCATCTAACTCTGCCTACTTTAGGAATCTAGTTAGTTACGTTAAAAGACCAGCGGTTATCCTGTCTACGCAAACGAGTGTGCCTCCAGCAGACCAGCAGATTGTTTTCATGCATCTGATGACGATTCGCAAACAATGACGTCAAGTGAGACACTGGTGATTGCATAAGTGCTAAAAAAAGGCAACATGAATTGTTGCTTGGAAAGCGCAGGGCTCTTGCCACTTGTGCTCTCTCACGTTTGGCATTGCTGTTCATCATGTCATCGGGAACCATACTTGCGCGATTACCTTAGGTGGTAACAAATTACTGGAGATTCTTTACGCACCAATAAATAGAATGGGGAACTAATGATGGAAAGGTTATCAAAATAATATACTGCATTCACTTCGGGCTAATGATTGTTGCCGCAGTATTCAACGAATAAATGAGGTCGGTGTTACTTGGCCTATAGAAGATCGAACGCTACATTAACAATAATGTGCTTAGATTACCGGCATTAAAAAACATTTTTATGTTCTCGAGCAATTTCGCTCACCGTAAAGGGGAGCAAAGCTTAAGAAATGATAAAACGGAAGTATTGCTTTCGAAGTATAAACTAGAATTTTGTTTCGTGGAAGCAAAACAAAACATTCCATGCTGAATAAAGGTTGTCAAACTCTAAGTAATGAAGAACAAGTGCCAATGTTTTCGGCCCTGATGGAATTGTTCCGCATTATGCAGAAATATATGTTTAACACAATAAATGAGCAAGGGCACGAGTAGAGTAATGAAAGGCAAAGTGCACAGTATCGCTTTGGGGGACTTCAGTAAGGAACATACGAATGCCTTGATGGACACGTTAGTAATACGTCACAAAAGGCTACAGCGCACAAAACTGCGACGAAGGAAGAATACGGAACAAGCAGTGCTGTATTGCTATTTATAACTTAGTTTTTATGAAAGGAGGTTATCTGAAACTAACAAACATGACGGGTTCACAGATTGATTCTTCACAGATCAGCCGTCGGCGGTGTCCTTGAAGAGTTCTCTGCTGCTTTGGGTTCTGCAAAGTCATTGCCCTTACCTTGTAAAAGTTACAATTTTAACCTTAATTTTACGTGAAACATTTCATGAGCCTGAGAGTCTGTCACGTTTTTCGCCCGTCACTACAAGTAAAAATACGCACATTTAATGTCTTTTCTACGAAGTGTTTGGATGATGATTTTTTTGCCTGGGTAATTCTTGTTGTTGCGTAGGGTCACAAGACATTATTTAGAACAATTTGTCTGAGTCATATGTAATATGATAAGTTCTTCCTTGGGCGTTAAAACTAGGTTGTGCCACAAATTCTTGATTCATTGTGCTTTAAAAACGTATTTCTGTTTACTTCTTCAAAGCTCGTTATCCTCATGTTGCATTGAGTGGTTTTGATTTCATGCTGTGTCCCTTATTTTGCATTTTCACATGTTATAAACATTTGTGTGCGAATAAGTGGGTTCATTTGGTTCATTATTTGAGACTTGCAGAAGGGGACTTTGTGGACACCACTGATTGCTGTAAGAAGAAATAGACATCGATATTCAAGTGAAAGGTGCTGCTTTGGAAGACAAAGATATTAAAATAAATTCTTTAAGGTCTTCTTCCTGAAGATCTAACTGCGCCCTGAATTCAATTGTCATCTGCAGTGAATGAACTGAAAGCTTTGTTCTACATGATAAGTTTTGTTACTTGTCGGAAGACTAGGTGATTATAAGAGAATATAAGAACGCAACTCTAAGGAGCCCACTCGGGCGTTTACTGGCGTAGTCGTTGTCTGCGTAAGGATACAATAAGTAAGGACACAGACTGTCCCAATCAGGGTTTCGCCATAAGAGCGATTAGCCTCTGAAATACCCAGAGGTCGGCAAACTTACGCACACTCACTGAGACTCAGATAGAGGCGAGGTTCCAGCTGAGATATACTTAGGCCAGCCTGAGTACGAGCGTCTCCCCTGAGAAGTATTTTGATGAGTACGAGTCTGACTGAGTTTAATGACGAAAACATTCATAAATCAGTTGTCGAGTGAGTTCGCTTCAGCAAACCTTTCTTTAGTCTGAATCATAGTGTGTCCTAACCAAAATACAAGTTTATTATGAAGCTTGGGGGGGCTCCATTATTTTGCCAACTTAAAATCCTAACTTTATTTAACCTACCACAGTTTTGAACCATTTAGCTCTTTTGGGCTTTCTTTTTCGATGAACTTTCTTACCCTCTTATGGTAGTAACCCTCTTCCGGTAGTAGTTGTTCTGTCTATACAATTTTATAAACATTTTATATGATTCCAAAGACACAGTCGTCATGTCGGCTTAACATCAATTTTAGTTAGGTGTTTTGCGTTGAAGGTAATTTGTGTAGCAGTGTCTATAGCTGCCATCCTCGCTAGTACCAGCGCTTCAAATAAGCTTATCCCGTCTGGCAATTGCTTCTGCTCATGTTCTTGTTGACATCGTTGTGCAAGTGGAAAGAACTTGTTACATAAACATGTGCAACTCTTCAGCAACTGTCTGTGTGAGCTACATTGAGATATAGATTAAGCGTCAATTCATGACCTGTCTGTTAATAAAGATATTACAACACAGTCACCCTCCCTCCGCGTGCTTTGCATAACGTCGATTTCCGGATCTGCAAAAAATCTTTTTTTCCAGCACTGGGCCATCCAGCAGGTCCACGAAGCAGCCACCAGGTACTTCCTGTTGGTCCTACATGGGAGACGCCCGCTACGCGCTAAGCGTGTCGTGCAGGACTAAAATAAAGTTATTCCATTCCATTCCCTTTGTCAGTTTTCTTTAATTCTTCTCCGATAAAGGTGATTTTGGACACTATTGCTTAAAAGAATTTTGATAGATATGTACCATCAGCCTTGAACGAAATCTGAACAACGCCAAGCGTTCGCGATGTCATAGTGCACACTCTCCAGTTACCACCACTGACAGAGGTGCCATGTTGTTCGGCCGCTTTGCGTATGTATGTCTGCCTGTTCGTGGTGATGAGCGCTGATAGAAAATA